CTGCCTGTAAGATCTGCACTCTAAAGAGTATCTTTTGTCTTAAATAAACCTTCATAAATCTCCTAAGAGTAAGATAAATATATGATCTTGGAACGTAATATGTTACATGAGATCCACAATGTTTGTGATCTGCAAAATACACATAACAATCAACATGCAGCTGGTACAACACGTTTTCACATTATCTGCTTCTTGTGAAGAAAGTGAAAATCACGTAAATCCTTTCAATGCTTTCTGTAGAGCTCAACCTCTAATTCAGGAATAGTAATTGAGTGCATGCAACTACTTTCTTTTAACATCCATCCAATCATTATTTTTCATAACACATCTCTCAAAGCAGTGCAGAGAACTGGCTTTTGAAATTGCTATGCATCTACTATACAAGGAAGTTATTTTAAATAAGATGGCACAAGTATATAAATCAATAGTACTGTGTGTATTTTTATTTTAAATTGAAAAACCTTTGACTTGTTATTATTTTATTTGTCTTAATTTGTTTTTGTTCACAAGATGTTAATAAGAAAACAGAGACATTTTTAAAAAAGTCTCAAACCATTCTGAAAATTAGTATACAGTACATTCACTTTATACTTTATTTATTACTTTACTTAACAATACAAATGTCCTAATAGCTGTTTTTTTCCAGTATGTGTATTGTTAAAATATAACGTTTTGGCTGAAATGTTGTGTTTTCTTTCTTCTCTTTTCAGCATGGAAAAAAACTATTACTTGTTCCTTTGCAGCCTATGCAGCTACCCACCTGAACTACTACTTGTTAAAATATACTGACTATTGTAAGTTTAATCATTGAATAACAAAACATTAAAATACAACTTTAAAATGCTGATGCAATTACCCTAATGAAGGTTTCTCTTCTCAGTCCAAATAGTAATATCATGAAAAACACACCCTTTCTGTTCAGGGAGGAAAACTAGAAAACAGGGAATTTTACCCAAAATTGTCTGAATAACTGAAATAAAAAGAAAAAAAATACTTTTTTATATCTCTTCTTCTATACTGTATACAGGGGTCTGTTAGATCAGGACCATCTGAAATATATTTAGGTTTTTTTTCATTGAGAAGCCTCCTATATCATACTATCTGCAGTTATAATAACCTAGAAGGACATGGAAAAACTGGCAATTAATAAAACGCAAAAAATACTCCCTGATCCTGTTACTTGGTTTAATAAAATTTAGTCAGAATTATTTTCCAGCAGGCCATGTACTGTATATAATGAACACTGTACAAGCAAAACACAAATGACAAACAATGGTGTTCTTTTGAATTCAGACAGCTTTAATTACAGTAAAATCTAGATTTATGACGCTCATAAATCCTTAAGATGTCATCCTTTCAATTACAGTTTAACTGTCTTTACAATTATTTAAAAGCTAGAAAGTGTGTGAAATCATGAAAACATCTGGTATTAACAGGAGCCAAGATAACCCTGTGTGCAGTAAATAAGATTAGACTACACTGAACTCCCAATGTGCCCCTGGGTGGGTGGGCTGCAGTCAGACATGCATTTAAACTTTCACCTCAGCCTCCACATTGCTTATAATCAGCAGGCATACTTCACAGGCAAATAGCCCAGTGAAAGGGATTCAGGAAGACATACTTTAAATTAAATAAAAGAGACAGAATATGCCTTTCATCATTACATCAAAACATCAGCCATCTGCCAATAAAGATGTAAATTATTGGACCAACACATGGCATCACCACCTACAAAACATACTCCTTAAACTTTGCTAAGGCTGTAGACAGTGCCAGTTGTAATTGTGGAACAGTTTTTATAAAATACCCCAATGTAAAGTGATGATTATTTCTCTCGTTTCTCTAGCATGATACATAATATTATCTTACAGTTTTAACTGCATGAAAAAATAACTTGTTTTCTTTTGACAGCTGATGACTCAGTGTAATTTTGCAAGTTGTAACAGTATTGCTGTAAGAAAATAATGCAACATTTCCTGATTTACAGTCACAAAATTGTGAATTCTGACCATTTCCTCTCAAAGAAGCACACTAAAATCATTTTTATGGCCCCTCAATGTAATAGACTACAAAGCAACATTACAGAAAAATACAATCATTTAATCTAGAGATCTGACATCTGAGCCCATCTGTTGTACAAGGTTCATCTGGCACTTAGCTTGCTTAAAAGGTGAATTCCAGCAATCTTTTCCACAACATTTCTGATGCTGGCTATAGATCAACAAGAACTGTCACATCCTTCATTCTCCAAATTGCCACACTTGATACACAACTTTGGCTGTTTATTACATTTCAGTGAGTCAGAGAGAAGCCCTGTAAAATGATCCCAATGACTGTCTAATTGATTATGTATTGCTTACTATACAGTCTATGTATATTTACAGTATATGATATACTAAGACTACATATGTACAGTACCACAATATTCTTACATGTCCATATTTAGTGCACTGAAATAAAATCAATTAGCATCATAATGCAGGTTACCATTATCATCAATAAGCAACAAAATGGCTAAAATAAAAGTATGGATTTGCATTACACCTTAATTTTGGAAAACAAAACATACAGTACTCAATGAAAATTAGTGACACAGTGCATCATGCCATGATCCACATTATGTCCTCCTTTCAGCCTCCTAAGCATTGCTTCATAGAGCCCATTTTGAGCACGAGTGTTGTGCAGAGTTTGGGGCAAACATTAAAGGGGTCATCACACTGGGTTCAGTTGATTTAGCACTGGCAGTGACAATGATGACTGCAGTTCAAAAAATAGCAAAAAGTAGAAATCTATCTAAAGTACATGTCATGTAACACTGAATGCTACATATCCACTGGACAATACAGTCTTCTCAAGAGCTTTTTTTTCTCATGGTGATTTCAGGAGCTACAAACATTAAATGAAGAAATAAAATGGCAAATATTTCCTCCGCTTTTTTCAGTAATCTCTACTGGGCATTACAGAGAACACCAGCCTTCAGGCTGCAATTGATTCAACATTAACCCAGGTTTTGGAAAATATTATTGCTACAGATTTTTTTTTACTGTTCTGTAGTGATACACATCAGTAAGCACATAGAGGAGAGCCGACCTTTGTAGCACATCAAGCCCATCCAATTACATTTCTTTTTTTCTTGTAGTCCCGTTGGCGGTACTGCCTGTACTAGAAACATCCCTATGCCCTCCCACCCAAGTATGAATCCGTTTGACACCCCTCTCTGAAAAGTAACATTTTACAACCAACCATAATCTGTCTTTGGGAGACAGAAAGAAATTAGGTTACCTAGCAAAAAGAGATGTGAATACGGGCAGAGAAAACTCAAAATAAACAGGTGTACCAGCTCAGAATCAAACATAAGGGCTCTAAAGCTGTCCTGCTAACCCCTGCAACCCCACGCAACCCAGTGAGCTAAGAATGCTGTAGCCTATTTCCTATACAGCAATGTGATAATGATTTTACACAACTTCACTCTTTCCATTTAAAAACAAAGAACAGAAAATGCTGTAATAGCACAGACCCAATGTTGTTGATATTAACCGATTCTAATTGAGTCTAGAGTACACTAAACAGCAGTCATGCTGATGTACATGAAACATCTGTTTTCATTTTTAAAAATCAATACAAGCCATGAGGAAAAATTGTATCTTTACATTTACATTTTTGCTTTACACCAAATGTCAGTTCAAAGTGCAAGCTCACATTAAGTGAATCAATCACTTCATATTTCACTATAGCAAAAACCACTATCCATTCAATATATTTAAAGGACAACAGTATGCACTCAATAAGGTGACATATATTTACCCTTGCACATTTTTTTAACTCTAAGAAGTCTCTACTTATTTCTTTTTTGTCTTGGATCCATCTGCTCTATTTCAAGACCCTTTTTAATTGAAAATCATTTGCTATTATTTTCTTACATTTCTTGGGCTGTGTTCTTCAAAAGTTTTTTTGTTTAAAAAAAAAACTTGAATAGTTGGCAGCCCTCGAAGACAAAGCAGGGAAGCATCTTCTTTTCAGTCTCGACAAAAGCAGGCCAGTCCTTTGAACTCACCCTCATTTGGGATTTCTTGCTCACACAGGCCATTCTTATACTTTTGTTCAAAAGCATGTTTAATTTAGTCCATAAAAAAATGTAGAGTTGTTCTTTATATGGCTATTGCAAAGCCTAATCAAGATTTTTTTTGTTAGAAGTATTTGCAACACTGAACACAAAAGTGTTCTTATAAGCATTACAACGGCCTGGTCACTTTTACCTCTCCTTGTCTACAAAAATACAGGTTTACGCAACGTGAAAAAAAAGGATTTTGCCAGAATCATTTCACTTATTAAGGCTAATCAGGAACTCATGAAAACCGTCGTTTACAGTGTGCAAGTATGAGAACCTTTTATTGTTGTACCTGCAAAAAAAGTGCGTGCAACACGACAGCATATATGGCATCATTAATGACACCTTCCTACACAGCCAAATTTTGAACTGGTAACTCAAGGTTAGAATCAGAATCAGAAGCACGCGAGGCTTTTAACAAATACAGATATATTGTATTTTTTATAAAATGTCAGCCACAGACGATGTGTATATCCTGTATTTTAATATAAGTAATCCACGTCTAGATTAAAAGTTTACTTTACACAACGCTGGTACACAGAATAGGAGGAACAGATTGTTGTATGTGATTAAACAAGGATGGCTGTGCTTAAATTCCAGAAGAATGTCCGCTTCAGGCGACACTGTCGACTTTGCGGTGTAACTTAGCACGATAAGAGTGCTGCACACTAAACTGCACAAGACCATTCCGCCTCGCGTAGGAAAATGTTTCACAACCACAAGGAATCAAGCATTTACCAAACGCACTCTAATTCTTTAAGATAAACAATACTGTCTTTAGTCAGTAGGATAGCATGGTGTGGGGGGTGGGGGGTCTAGACACCCAGACGTTAATCAGAAAACAATGATATGACCTTATATCTACTGACCTCCGCTGATCTAGTCGTCTTACCTTAATGATGCTACTCCTCCGGGGTATCCCGGGTTTACAGTCCAGCCCGACAGCGGTGTTGTTCGCGGGGTCCACCCCCGGGCTTCCAGGTGGTGCTGGAGATCCCGAACCGAGTACGTCTCCTACCCCACAGTCCCCGTTTGAAACAGTGTCTCCACGGTGGGTTTCCCCGTGAGCTTCATCGACGGGTTTGTCCGGTTTCTTTCCCGTGATGAGTGAAGAAGACACTCCGCCGTTCTCCTTTCCAAACTCCGCCATAAGAACACAGGCTGGTCTTGATAGTCCGGGTATGGTGATCTCGGTATTGTGGATTGTTGTATATGCCTTTGATAAATAATATGCCAGTGAAATGTTCACATACAGTACGGCTCTTCGGTGATGACAGACTCTGCAAATATATTTATTAGCAAAGCTATAAGGTTTATTTTTTCTTTATCAGTGGTAATTCCATTGGAAAGAGGTTCATTTTAGTCCGGCGACAGAAATTGTCATTGTGACACGGATGTCTAATCTTAATTATTCCAAATAGCTGCTGCTGGCTTTCTGTTGGTGATCCTCCTTCTTAAAGACCTCTTGGTGAATATATTTCAGTACGTTTGTATTTCCACTCAAGATTACGTTAAAGAGAAGGAAAAAAAACAAAAAGAAAAAATTAAACTGTTTAACGAAACGAGCCGAAATGGGGAAGCCGTTTCATAATATTTACCTGCAGGAAAAGTCACTAGACTGATATGTGTTACACACAGCCTTGGTCTATATTTGTTCATCTGATTTTTTTACATTACTTTGCGCGATCTGTTACAAAATCGTATACTGCGATTTAAAAGCCTAACCAAATTTTGTCAATCAGAATATATGCATTAAGATACCTTGCTTCCTCGCTCCATCTGCTTTATCGTGACTTTTTAAATGCGTATAGTCTTACAGTTTCCAGTAAGCAGAAATAATATGCAGTTCTGGTTTTGGTTGTTAAAGAAAATACGAAAAGCTGTTAAACAAAAAGCTTACTCTTATCAGCGTGAGAATGACTTACTCTGACACTGTACAATTAAAACAGCAACACGTAACACATCCTCAATCGACCCATTAAATGAAATTAATATTTTCCTCTCGGAGACTAGTATAGGTGAACAAAAGCCTAAGGTGTGATGCCTATTCCTGGCTCGGTGGCAGTGCTCCACCATCCAAATTCTCTTCACTGACACTCAGCCCAGCTGGCAGAGAGAATTCGCTTCCTCAAATCGACCCTTGTCGCTTCTGTCACTAACCACAGCAAGCTGTCAGTCAAACACTATTGCAGCTTCCTATTGGGTAACACTAAATCGCACTCCGCCCCAAGAGCTGCAGGAAGTCCTCTCAATGCTGGAGGCTTTCACTGTATTTGTTGATGCTGATAAAGGCCCACCTATGATAGTAAATTGTCTGTCAATCATACAGAACTTTTTGAACAATTGGTTGTACATGAAGAGACACGCCCATGATGTGCGCGTATGGGGGGGGGGCGTTATTCCTCCGTCTCTGTTTTGCAGATTATATAGCAAGGTAATGATTGTGCTCTGATTGTACTTTCGGTTTTGATTGAGGTGTAATGCGATTGCACGTACTGTATGGGGGTGGGCAGCGTGTAGCACGCATTTCCCCAGCCCCCATTTGCAATGTGGGAAATATGGACGTTGCTTAATAGATGTTAGAAGCGATTACATTTTACTCAGTATGTGACTGAAATTTAAGTTGGAGCACATTAAGCTTGTTGTCCACGATGTGTAAAAAAATCATTAAGTCGCCATGTTTAAGTATTTAGAAAAGCATGCTTTAATTATAATAATTAATAATTGCTTACACTTTTAATTACCACTTGAGATTTTAATTACCACTTGCAATGTATTATGTACATTCTATTACTGTTAATGCATTCTATAAACTGCATGCTGGAAACAAAAGCATTGATTATAAGTACAGCAAAGATTAAATCATTGGAGCTGCCAACATTTTCCAAAAAAGTATAATAAAATAATAAAATACATTTTTAAGGTTACCTGTATCTACAGGATACAGAGCAGCTTTCATTGTGGAGGAATGTGGTTCAGGTATCTATAGAACTATATAAGGGTTATATTGGTTGTGTTAAGATTATCAGACATCAGGGCAATGTGGGTTACGTGCACACAGTTGTGCATGCAAGCATTTGCAGATTTTTTATACAGGGTCTGAGGGAAAAAAAAGAAGATCACAAAGGAAAGATCACACACAAAGAGAGAACACATGAATTGACACCTGTCATGAAAATACATCAGTCTTTGATTTATTCTCCCCGATAGCTAATTAAGATCAGTCTCTCGATTACAGAGCTTTAATAATAATAATAATCATCATCATCATCATCATTGCTTACACTTAGAGTACATAGCGCTTTTCTGGACACTCCACTCAAAGCGCTTTACAGGTAATAGGGACTCCCCTCCACCACCAATGTGCAGCCCCACCTGGATGATGCAATGGCAGCGATAGTGCACCAGAACGCTCACCACACATCAGCTATCAGTGGGGAGGAGATCAGAGTAATGAATCCAGTCCATAGATGGGGATTATTAGGAGGCTATGATTGGTAAGGGCCAATGGGAAATTTGGCCTGGACACCAGGGTAACACCCCTACTCTTTTCAAGACACAGCCTGGGATTTTTAATAACCACAGAGAGTCAGGACCTCGGTTTTACGTTTCATCCAAAGGATGGTGCCTTTTTACAGTGTAGTGTCCCCGTCACTTTACTGGGGCATTAGGACCCACATGGACCGCAAGGTGAGCGCCCCCTGCTGGCCCCACTAACACCTCTACCAGCAGCAACCTTAGTTTTTCCCAGGAGATCTCTCATCCAAGTACTGACCTGGCTCACACCTGCTTAGCTTTCGGTGGGTTGCCAGTTGTGAGTTGCAGGGTAATATGGCTGCTGGAACTAGCTTCCTAGATCACTGAACACTGTTCATTTTATAGCTTATATTGAATATAGTAAAATTTCTCATATTTACTGTTATGTTATAGTTAATTTAAGGAGTTAAATATACATTATGTTTGATAACATGTTTTGTATTTGTGGTTTCTGGAACATTTTTATATAACGATAAACAGGTTTAAAAGAGAAGGGTGCAGGTTATGAATTCCCTTACCTAAGATTTCAAAAAATATTTTTAAGTTGAATGTGCAAAAAGCAATTCTAATATGAAAATGATATCTGATGAAAGACAGTTGGTATACCTGCAATTATGTTTCTCAAATCATCAGTCATCTATTTTATGTCTCATCTGTTTCTTGGAGGAGGAAGCATTGCGTCTATTTAAAACTAGAAAATGTAAGTGATTTTGAGAAGGTAAAGAGAGTGGGAGAGTGCATACAGTTCTGCTGTCTAAAAAAATTTGGGTTTCCCACCTTTGGGTGATGCAGATATTGTAAATTACCCAGGTCTGCTAATACAATTTTCTCATTGACTTGATGGCAAATGTCCTAATCTCACTGAATCGTTTATTTTATGAAGCACAGTATGAATGAGTTATGCTCATCAAATTCTTATTTCTAAATAGATGTGGGCATACTTGTACTACAGTACATGTACCATATTGCACAACAGTATAATGAATGCATAAGTTAAGAGAGTTGCTGTTAGGTTTCTGTGATGTACAATACTGGTAGAATTTTTTAGACTGGATGAATTATGGAATGTTAATCAGTCAAAGTTTATTTATGAAATGCACAGCAATACAGCATGCAGCAGTAATTGCTGGCAATGAAATGTCTTAATGAATTCTCATTAAAATTTGTTTTGCACCTAAAAGGTCTGGAGACACATTATGCTGTTTTTCGGACCTTTACTTAATATTGTAGAACAGATTGTATACGTCTTACAAGGCAAATAATTATATTAATGTGATCCAAGATATTATATGGTCCGGTGTGTTTTTGTGTTAGGACCATACATAACTGATAATGCTTTATATTGTAATAAAGATTTACTACATCCAAAATTTTACAGCACAACAACGTATAATTTCATTGTTCTGAAAATGGAAATTAAATGAACATTTTGTTAATTGGAAATAATTATTTTAGAGTACACATTTTTCTAGGATAAATTCTAATAAATAGAATTAATTTATCAAATATGGACCAATGAGCACCAAATTACAAATTGTTTTCCCCTCATTTTGACAGACACCATAGGCCAAAGCCTATAATGTCCTGAAATACAGGAACATGACACTGCTGCAGAAAGAGCAAAGCAAAAAGTCTATACTGTACTATTTACTTCATTAGGAAAAGAATTTTGAAAATTTTCCAAACATCATGGTTTGGGAGGTGTTTACCAATTCAGTAATCCATTTTTTCATTTAAAGAGCAAATTTTCACTCTTACGAGCTGTGCTCTCGTAAAGCATTGTCTATTTCTTATTTTCTCTCTTTTTCTTGGATGAGACATTTTTATTTTAATTAACATTTTAACTTTTTTATAATAAAGGCTTGTGTGTGTTAAGTGAATATACGTAGAACTAGATAGTAGCTAATGTTTATACATTTGGTAACAGCTAACGAAGTGACTAGACCTTGTTTTTGATGCAAAGCAAATTCATGAGAAATTGGACAATAAAGTATACCCATACCACTTTTTGCAAACGTAATTCGTTCCCAGAAACCATTCCATATAGTTTGTAAAAAGAAAAATATTTTCATTACTTCTCACTGGGAAAAAATTACGATCCGTTCCAAACCCCAAAAATGTCACTCCTACTTTTAATTTTTTCAGCATAAAATGATAAAAGAAACATTAATAACTGACATTCATACTGTGGTTTGTGTTTTTAGTACAAAAAACATTTTACCTAGTAAGACATCATTGATCATACCTAAGTAACAGTAACCACTTAATTTCCTTTTTTTAATTACACACACTCACAATTTTCATTTTCTTAACGCTTTTAGGGTCCATGATAAAGTCTAAACCACAAATTTGCTTACACGAAAAGTAAGAGCGCACACGATAGTGAACAACGCACGAAGCAAGAAGCAGTGAACTGTATCACGCGTATCTCTTGTGCCACTCCATAGTCTCTGACTTAGCTCTCACTCATACTAGTTAGTGGAATGTGATGCGAACACTCGATATGAAATGAGTCATATGATGCCTTTTTCTCCTTTTTACATTCTTACATAGAGGTACGGGTGTATTGTCAAATTATAGGATATTTTACTCTACTATAAATGGATAGGACTATTATTGTTTAATTTATCTATTATCTATTGCTTATGCGTCGGCTAATGACTTTAAGCATTTTACTCAAACAGTTAACCAGGAATGTTATTGCTTCATTCTTAGGTACCATTCTGTGCTGTATTAAGATGAAGTTTGGGTGTTTGATGGAACATTTTTGAGTTCAGGAGTGAGTTCTTTGATTTGTGATTCAGAGATATGAATACAGTAAGTAATGAGAATTTAATTTTGATTATATTAGTTTTCTCCTTATGAGCAGTTTTCGAGGAATGAACCAAGCTTGTATTAAGAGGGATGACTGTACTTGACATTTCATGAAATTTAAAACAACATTGTTGACATCTGACATCATAGATTGGTCATCACAAAAAAAAAAAACAGATTAAAAGACCAAATTAAATACTTTATTCATTTTTCAAGAGAAAGCTACTGAATTTCCTTTTACTCATTCCTTTTACTCAGTGATTATCGTAGTGCATTTTAATCCAAGATGGCAGCCAAACATCACATGCAGCCATGCCCAAAAAGTAATATGTGTAACTGCACATGGACATACAGTATTTGTAAAGTTTCAGTTCAATAGCTCCAATTCTTCTGTTACGTTTTGTGCCTTCAAAACGTGACTTGATTTTTGTTCTTTTAGGCAGTTGAAACGAAAAAGATATTTTAAAGAAAAAGACTGGATTGGAAACATCATTACAGTAGGCTTCTTAAATGGTTTTAACATTACTGAAGTTGACCTTTGTATAAACTCCGAGCCACAAAGAATTTTTATAAAATTAGCTTACTATAGAATCAAAACAGAGCTTTCCAGTAAACATATCAGAGCAAAACAGTTTGATAATTTAAGTTTTACCTCAGTTACACCATCTCTGTGTCCAGATAACATTCTTTTAACATTAACATTTAATGTTGTAAACTTCATCTTACAAGTAAGTTGTTTTTTAAAGGGGCAGAAAAAAAGAAAACACTTTACAATTAAAACCTTAAATG